GCATGCAAAAAATGGGGGGGGGGGTGTTGCGCCTATCATGAGTGCATGCATGCTGGGGTGTGTTGCACATTGCATTATGGGTGGGGCACACCTGCGCATGGCCCCCTGCACTCCCCCTGCTTATGGCACGCAACCCAAAAAAGGTTCACCTTCGCCGATGTAGAGTCTCCTACTTGACCAGGGATTGGAGTAGATTACCTACAAGGTCCCTTCGGTTAATCTGTTAATCTTGGCCTGGAACAATTTCCTTCTTAGGCAGGGAAGTTGATTTCAACTTTATCTGTTTTTTTACTTCAGATTACTTAGAGCCCATAGTCTTACTGTACATTTTATCCCTTCAGAATTGCTGCTAAATCTTAACAAAATTTGTATATGTTTTAGCTGCAGGATCCTCAACAGTTAAAGTTTTGGTTTATAGCTGTCTCAAAGGTGCTTTTTCAAAAGACAACTGGACTTTATTTTGCCTTGAAGACATTTAGCTTCTTATCCAAGAAGCTACTTCAGTTTCGGAAGAGCTGCTTGGATAAGAAGTGAAACGTCTTCAAGGAAAAACAAAGAATGTCTGGTTGCCTTTTGAAAAAGCATCTTTGGGACAACCATGACCTGGGTGACTGAGAACCTCCATAGACATGTATAGTTTATGGATGCTTGTCATTTGGCATATATGTGACACCTCTGCTCCATAGGCTGCACTGTTTGCCAGTGTGCTTTTTGTTTCAATTCAAGGTACTGATAGTTACTATTAAAACCATTAATGGCTTGGGGACTAGGTTATTTGCAGAACCAGTTCTCCCTAGTCATATCTCCCTGTCCTACTAGATCTGGCAGGAGAGGCATTTTTTGGATCCTGACCATTAGGGAGTATTTACTGGTTCTCCGAACTACTCAAAATTTCTGCTACCGGTTTTCCAGAAACAGAGGTGGGTTCCTACCAGTTCGGACGAGTAGGTAGTAACTCAGCCAGACACAGCCCCAAACTGGTTCTATTGGTGGCACTGTAGGCGTTGCCATCTTGTTTTTTGCTTCTGCGCATGCGAAGAAGCAATTTTTTTCACTATTGGAAAATGTGTGCATAGTGCACGAAGTGTGACCCTGAGCGAGCCAGCAGTAGAAGCCGGAACCCACCCCTGTTCATAACCTGTCAGAACTTGCTGAATTTCACCCGTTTTGAACCCTTGTTTGTGGGCTAGCTGGCAGTAAGGAGACTGCAGGCCTCCCCTTCTTATGTTTCAGGGAACTGAACTCCCTACATACAAAGGTGGCAGCTGCCAGACAAGCTTTCCAAAACTTTCCCCTTGTTTTAATCTCACACTCCTGCACAAACCTACTTTTTTCAGTGAAGAAAGCAAAAAAAATAAATAAAATGTGGGAAGGGACAAACTTGTTCTTTCTCTTCCCCTTCCACACCCCCCCCTCCCCGTACTTTGGTGGAATGAAGCTAAACTCTCCGCCCCTGCCCTCCGATCTCTGCCTCCTTGAACAACTTAATTTGCTAAATTTACCATGTGCACCTAGAATGAGGTTGACAAAATCTGTAAGTGACTTACCTTGATAAGTGACTGGCAGGCTGAAGAGTAGAAGAAATGAATCTTCCAGGGATTTAGCTTAATGGAAGGTGGGGGAGCTGAACAACAACAAACTTTAGAAAGCTTTTTACTGCTTGTCTGACTCCTCTTATGACCCAGTTTTTGCTACATATGTTTGGGCAGTTTCTCCCTTCAGCTCTCCACACAAACAACAGCCGGAATATTTTTCTTTACTCCTTTGTTCTCCCCTTCTTATAAAATTTTACTCCACCCCTTCCAAGCACAAGCAGGAACTGCTAATGTTCGAGCAAGCACTGTGAGCCTGATTATGCGAAACTGTGGCTCATGTTTATGACAAGCATGCCCAGGGTAGATCCAGACATATAAGAAGTCTTATCCGGGTCTATTTAAAGTGATTTTGCATGCATGCTGAGTGTGGGGCTTGTCATTTACAGCAGTTCAAACTTCTCTGTGCTTGAAAATAATACAGCAGCCTCAGATTCCAAAGGGCTTAAGCCCTTTGGAATCTTTGGAATCTGAGGCTGCTGTATTATTTTCAAGCACACAGAGAAGTTTGAACTGCTGTAAATTCTGCAAATTTCATTGTTAGGTATGACTAACGTGGGGCAACTCAAGGCTTCTGCTAACAGAATGCAACAAAGCCTGTTGTTGGGGTTTTGGTAAAATGATTTCTTCAGACTGATTTTGTATGGATGTTATAAACCAGCACCCGCCAACAGTTTGGGCACCAGGGACCTATTCCATTGAGAGTTTTTCTGTGGACCGGAGGGGATGTGGTTTCTTGTACCGCCTGCATCTTGCAGATGGAGCTTCATTAGTTTGCATGGCTCAGTTGCTGGCATGCTGTGGCCCAGTGCCAGTCCACGGATTGGGGGTTTGGGACACCTGTTATAAACCATGTTGTAATTTTAGTGATGAAGAGTAGTGGAAAATACAGGACGTATCCTGTAATTCTCAACAGACAGACTCTGAAATGGCGAACAGAGTGAGTAAAGAAACCAGTTTTAATTAATTGTTTATGTACATACCAGTAGAGCATTAACATGACATGTTTCATGTTTCGCAATCTCTGAATTAACACACTCTAGACAATGATTCCTCAAAGCACCATTTTTATATTCCTATGGTACCGGTAGTTGCAGCAGTCACAAATGATCTGAAGTTTTTTTCTGATGTAGAATACAACCATGACTTTGTTCTATCAGAAATAACAGAAAACAGAGTTGGAAGGGACCTTGGTCTTCCAGGCCACCCCCCTGCTGAAGCAGGAGATCCTATATCATTTCAGACAAGTGGTTGTCCAATCTCTTCTTAAAAACCTCCAGTGATGGAGTACACACCATCTCTAAAGGAAACCAGTTCCACTGATTAATTGTTCTAACTATCAAGACATTTCTTTGGAATGGTTGGTTCTCTCTTGGCTAACATTCCATCTTTTACGCCTTGTCCTGCCTTCAGGTGCTTTGGAAAATAGGTTAACTTCCTCTTCTTTGTGGCAGCCACTCAAATATTGGAACACTGCTATCATATTACGGAGATGCCTTAATGAATCTATTTTTTACTTCAAATATAAAGAGTTGGCATTCCTTGGTAGCTGGGCTAAACTCATTCTCTGCATTCAAAGCAACAACAAGTAGTCCTCAATTGACTACAATTGAGCTCAAAATTTCTGTTACTAAGTAAGACATTTGTTAAGTGAGTTTTATCCCATTTTAAGCCACAGTTGTTAAGTGAATCACTGCAGTTGTTAAGTGAATAATATGGTTGTTAAATGAATCTGGATTCCCTGTTAACGTTTGCTGTCAGAAGGTTACAAAAGGTGATCACATGACTGTGGCACACTGCAACCATCATAAATATGAGTCAGTTACCAAGCATCTGAATTTTGATCATATGACCATGGGAGGCCACAATGGTCATAAGTGTGAAAATGGTCATAAGTCATATTTTCAGTGCCGTTATAACTTTGAACGGTCACTAAATGAACTCTTGTAAATTGAGGACCACCTGTATAACATAAACATCATATTTTTCGGACGTTTTGCTCTGTTAATTTTGCTTTTTCTTTGCTTTCCAATCTCCCACATTAGGAAATCTAATATTTGAGTAGTTATATGACCTGATCAAATATAATTGTCATGATGGCCCTGTCCATTTTGGTAATGAGTCTCACTTAGTACACTACTCAAATCTCTGGCCTCATCTGGAGGTGAAAACTTCAATTCCCAGAATTCCTCAGCCAACCCGCCATCAGAGAACATGCTATTTACACATGGAGTTAAAGTGAAGACTCGACTTGCTTGCCATTGTGTGCATGATTTGCAGGGTACATCCTGTGAGAAGGCATCTTATTGGCTGGTGACCAAGGGAAATTATGCCCATTCACTTCTGGCATAATTCTGAATCTGATGCTGTCCCTTCTGCTGTAACCTGATGATAAACCACCATTAAAAAAAGCATACACTCCTAGTACTATGGTCGCTAGCTAAGTTAAAATACAGGTAATCCTTGACTTACAATAGTTCGTTTAGTGACTGTTCAAAGTTACAATGACATTGAAAAAGTGAATTATGACTGTTTTTCACACTTATAATTGTTGCAGCATCCCCATAGTCAGATGATCAAAATTCAGATGCTTGGCAACTGATTCAATTTATAATGGTTGCAATGTCCCAGGATCATGTGATCACTTGTGGTGACCTTCTGACAAGTAAAATCAATGGGGAAGCCAGATTCACTTAACAACCATGTTACTAACTCACTGCAGGTCATAAAATGGAGCAAAATTGACTTAACAAATGTCTTGCTTAGGAACAAAAACTTTGGGCTCTATTGAGGTCGTAAGTCAAGAATTACCTGTACAGAAATTGTTGGTATTCTTTTGACCACTGTTTACCAGATACAGTTGGGGACTGGAAGAATACATTGACTAAACACCACAGGTGGAAAAGTTTGATTATGAGGTAATGCTATCTATTATAAAGTTCTCAGAGCATGAGAAAGTGAATAATGATTTGCAAAGCAATACTAGCTCAAACCACCAACAAAGTCTTTCATTATCAGAAAAGGGTTTAATCACTTGTTTTGTTCTTCAAAGAGTTCTTAGCAAGGGAATTAAGTCCCACTCTAGCAGACAGAGAAATAGATTGTTAAAGTGAAAACATGGTTATTAAGATTTCTGTAACAAATCCGTTTTCCCTTTTCAATAAATCAGATTAAAGAAGGCTTTGCATGAATATTTGTTGCTAAGAGCCCACATCTTCTTTGTCTAGGGTCCAATCTAGATGAAGTGTCTCCCCCCACCATCTTTGAAAACCATTACTATAATGTAGCTGAGATCCGCAAAAAAATAGCTGCTTTGATAGATGTTCAGAATTTTTTTAAGCAAAGATTTTTGTGAACAGGAGCAAGATGAAGATAAAGTAGGTACAATGAATTTTTCCCTTATATATTGGAGTTCGCCGAAAAAAATGTTTTCAGAGTTGCTTGTTCTGTATCTTGCAAGCTATATTATGTGCAGAAACTAATAAATGTTTTGTCTTATTTGCCCTTTGCATGCAATGATAGCTATTATAGATTCAACAGGCTGGTCTTTGAATTGCTGTGTCAGATTCTCCTCCCCTTATGAAAAATCGAGGAATGGGGAAGATGAGACAAGCTTAGTTGGTAACGTTCAGTTCATTCAATGGGGTCTCTATTCAGCACAGCCTATGAATGAATAAGAGTTCAGTTAAGATCATCCAGAAGCTCACAGTCCAAAAGGATGTTGTTTATTAACAATAAAATGTCAGTTTGCAAGAGCCTGTTTCCATTCCTAATTTTGGCTATACTATGAGACAATAAGCTTAAACTTCCTTGCCATCTCCTATTTACCAGAGTCAGCAAAATATTAACACGTCCCAACGCAATTTACTTCAAATCCCCTATCTTCTTTCTAGCATATAGTAACATAAAACTATTTAATTAAATTATAGCGGGGAAGAGAGAAGGTGAGTCTGTTCTGGTTGGTTTCCTCCAGTTCATTCAATCAGATGTCTATTTAGATTGAACAGAATAACTAAATTCATTTATAATACATACAGTAGTAAATAAGTAATACAGGAAAAATAAAACTAGGAATATTGTTGAGAAGAATGCCCATGTACGCAAGTAGCTAAATCTCTCTGGTTGAATAATTCAATGCACATGACCAGATATGTATAAGACTTGAGTCTGAATGAGCTTCCAGTTCACTCAAGCAGCAAACATATAAATACCCTTGAATTTATCCTTCATACATCTAAATATCCTTGAGTTTATCAGTCAACTCACTTTTATAGTTAGAGTAAAGTAACAAGATAGGTCAACTTTCCACTTTTTGGCCCTCATCTTCTTTAGCCAACTAACTAATCAATTATTTAGTTACTCAACTATTTATTACCTAGTTATTACCCAGTAATCTACTCAATTGCCTAATTACTCAATCTATTTATTATCTAGTTACTCATCTATTTATTACCTCCTAAATGTCTATGGAGATTCTCAGTCATCCAGGTCATGGTTGTCCCAATGGTGCTTTTTCAAGAGGCAATTGGACTTTTTTTTTTCTTTGAAGACATTTCACTTCCCATCCAAGAAGCTTCTTCAGCTCTGACTGCATGGTGGGGAATGGAAGGATTTATACTTCTTGCAGACAGATGGTCATTGCATTCTTTAAGATGTTAAAGATTACCTGGAGATTTATTTGTGTCATCAGGGTCACCTCAGCGGTGCAATGGGTGTGGAGCCTTCTTGGAACTGTTGAAAGGACTGTATGGTAGATTGGAGATATATGATGTCATATCCCTCCCCCTTTGTTGAGAGAGAGACCTGTTCAATTTTGACACAGATGGCCTCTTTAACCCCTCTTTCAAACCAGCGATCCTCTCTGTCCAAAATATGGACTTTGTTGTCTTCAAAAGAGTGGCCTGTCTTTTAAATGCAGATGGACTGCTGAATCTAGTCCTGATATGTTCGTTCTCTTCTGTTGTGCCATGTGTTTATAAAGTGGTTGTTTCATTTTCCCAATGTACAGATCTGCACATGGCTCACTGCTTTGTACCATGTTGCTCAGTTTCTGTCTGGGTGTTTTATCTTTGGAGTGGACAAGCTTCTGCCTTAGTGTATTCTTGGGTTTGAAGTGTGCACGTATATTATGTTGGCTGAAGATCCTCCCGAGCTTTTCTGATATGCCTACAACGTATGGAATGACGACGTTGCTTCATTTATTGTTCTTGTCATTGTCTGGACAGAAGAGCTCCTGTAGGGTCTTTTTTGAGATTTGATGAAGGCCCACTTGGGATAATCACACATTCTGAGAGCTTCCTTGATGTGTGTTTGCGTTCTTTTTCTTTCCCATTTTTGCTGGTAGGCAGGCCTTCAGGTCGGTGA